AAGTGAATTGACATCATTACCCGTCGAAAATGAAAAGGGCAAAACCATGTATGTATTTGAATGCGAGACAGTTTTTATTTCAATTATCATATGATATATAGCATAATGTATAGGCATAGTAAATATCTGGAAATTTTTAACACTATACTCAAACGCGATTCTATGTGTTTTAAGACGTTACTTCAAGCAGGTGACAGTGATAAAAATACTCCACTTCATATTGCTGCTAGAATGAAGAACGAAGAAATTTTTGAATATTTATTAAAACGTGGCAGGGAGTTGAAAATTTCTAGTTCGAAAGGTAAGGAAGAAAATAACATATATGGAGTAACCGAACCACGGAATTGGCTCGGACAAACACCATTGTTTGAATGTGCAAAATATAACAGAAAATCATTTATGGAAAAACTATTGTCAGAACAACCTAATTCGAGCAAATGGACGAAAATACTTGATCAATTAAAAGATCAAAATCAAATGACATGCCTACACATAGCATGTTATAACGGTAAACATAGATTTGTTCACATCATTAGCGAAGCTTTGTCTTTATTCTACTCTATATATAGGTAGTCTGGATATTGTTAAATATCTTACTACTTTGCATCAGATTTCAATTAATCCTTATGCAAGTACTCGACAGACACCATTGTATGGAGCTTGCGAAGGAGGCTTTATTGACGTTGTACGGTATCTACTTGATTATACAGATGCCAATCCTACAATAAGAACAGCCAAAGGTTACAATTGTCTTGATATTGCTATCGCAAGACACCATCATGAAATTGTCAAACGTCTATTGGAATATCCCGAATGGCGTACTTTAATGGAAAGTGTTCAATATGAAGACAGTGATGTACCCATTACGCCTATGCGACGGTTGATCATATCTATGCCGGAAATTGCCTATGAACTTATTGATAAACATTTTACAACGATTATTGGAGATGCTGATCAACCGAAACATTTAATTAAATATGACTACACATTTATTGATGATCATTACAATATTTGTGATTGGCAGTTCGGTAAATATTGCTTGATTGTAAAGTTATTGATTATCGATTCTTTTTCAGATGACCTTGTTGACAAGCCTGGGTCAAAATTGAGCAAATGGTATAAATCTATATTAACTAAGGTAAGCATACCTGATCGTCGTCATCCATATACACCAAGTGCATACACGCTACTTCGTAATCATCCTCTAATGCTGATGTCACAATGTAGCCAAGAAAAATTAATAACACACCCATTATGTTTGGCATTACGCAAAGCGAAATTTCGGCGATTTAGTCGCTGGATACTTCTCTTATCCTTTCTTAGCTATATTATGTTTATGGCTTTGTATACTATTGTTGTTCTTCAAACAATTCATCCACAACATTACTATGATCTTTATAATTCATCTGGAAATGCTTCAGGTCAAAACATCGAGTGGGATTATGGATTCAATAGTGACGTCTGTCGACGAGTAGGAATTTATTTAATCGAATCAGGAAATACTGATGCACGAAAGACGACAAATCAAGAAAGATATTTATTGATGCTCGATGTTTTATTAATTATATTTGTGATTAAAAATGGAATTTTTATATTAGCTTCATTTCCACGTTTTATTCGTAAAATAGCATACTATACAGAAGCACTTGCTCTAGTATTGGTATACGTGTGTATCAGAGACGATAATTCATGGCAAAGTTCTCTTAACTTTCGATGTCCAATTCAATGGGAGCTAGTAAACATTGTATTTTAAATAGTTTTCTATAATTCACATTTATTCTTTGTAGGGTTCAATTGGTCTTCTATTATCTTGGTTGGTATTCCTTTCATATATGCGTTATATTCCTTGGATGGATATTGGTCTATATGTTGTCATGCTCAATGTAATCCTTTTAAAATTTCTTCGAGCAATACCTCTTTTAATGGTACTCTTCTGTGGTTTTGGTTTTACTTATTATATGCTATTACAATATCAAACTGTTTATGGGACTCCATTTGAAGCAATTTTTCGCACAGCATTGAGTCTATTCGATTTAGGATATGAAAGTCGACTTTATAATCCACCAACTGGTGTTATGTATTATCCTGTCGTCTATTTTGTTTTCATTCTAACTCAAATTATTCTAACTATTCTTATGACAAATATGTTGATTGGTATGTTCATACTTTCAATATTTTTCTACTTCATTCAATATATTCATGTAGGTTTGGCTTTGGGAGAAATTCCAACATTGAAAACACAGGCGACACTTCTACGGAATAAGATGATGTATGAACTCTTCTTTGATTATGAAATTTTTCATCTTCAATTGAAAACAATAGTACGAATTATTTTATATTTCTTAATGTGCCGTGTATGTCGTCGACGTTCGAATTCAAGTACTCAGTCACATCACATCCGACCCTCTTTCAGCCTATTTGAAACTCATGTAAACGATGAAATCATCGATGATCAATCATCAGATACTGCCAGCTTAGTAAAGAAATATTTTAAATGGTTCCGAGATACTATTACAGAAGATGATATTCAATCATTGATAATGGTTGAGAGAAATTACCAATATTATCATAAAGAAATGCATACGGGGAAAGACCAAGCGAACTAATAGAATGATAACTGAACTATTCACTGTTTTGTTTTGTTTTGAATTACTCCAGCAATTTGTGTGACTTTTTCATTTTGTTAATAAAGATAATTATTTACAAAATCCATTCTACTACAGAGATGAGTGTGGGTGTGAATGAGGGTCGGTCAATGTGGGTGAGAGTGGATAGATGTGAGTGTGGCTGCTCTACCCCTTACACCGACACCCAGCTAATGTTTGATAAATTACAAACTATAATAAAAAGATGTCTCTGTGTATTGAATCTTCACAAAGAATATAGTTAAAGCTAAACCAATGGCTCATGTACAGTTTAGAAGAACAAGTTAAATCATTTCTTTCTTTTACCCATAAACTATCTATAACATAGAACATGTTGTTATTCTTTGTTATATTCTAGATAAAATATTGAGCAGGATGAAATTTGAACAATTACCAAATGAAGTATTCGTTGAATGCTTTCAATATCTCAATGCACCCGATATCTTTTATTCATTTGATCGATTAAACTATCGGTTGTATATACTTATTCGAAATATTCATTTACATCTCAATTTTGAACAAATTAAAAAGCCTTTATTTAATGAATTTTGTCAAACAATACGAATAAATCCGAAAATAAAACGAAACATCATCTATTTAAAATTATCAAATATAGATACATGTAAACAGATTGAATCATTTTTTTCATTATTTCCATTAAATGAATTTATTCACCTTCGATCATTATCCTTTATTAATTTGGGTTATGATGGTATTGAACAAGTCTCATCTATGTTAACCTTATTACCTGATTTATATCGATTTTATGCTCCTGGATGGAGAATAGACGCACAGACTATATCTAAATCGAAAATACAAGTGTTAACATTAGGAAACTATCTTCCAACATCTATTTATGAAACATCGTCAGTTACATCATTACGAATTTATTTGTGTACTTTATCTGAATTACTAACACTATTGAATTATACATCGATGTTAAAATATATAAAAATCGACATGTGTAGTGATTATGATATGAAATCTGATTCTAGTAAGATATGTGCTGTTCATTTAAAACAATTACATCTAAATTATTCTTCGACTTCTTTTGAACGTTTTGAACTGTTGTTAAAATGTGTTCCAAACTTGAAAATCTTTTCAATCTATGATGACAATGCAGACAATATGATTGATGCAGATCGATGGCAACATCTCATCAAATCTTCATTACCACTATTACGTGTATTCAACTTTAACTTTAGTTGTCGCTATTCTGAATCTTACGATAAGATATTGATCAAGCTTTCACCATTTCAAACTGATTTTTGGCATCAAAATAATTGGTATATCAATTATGTAATCGATGACGGAAGAGCATCCGTTTATACTGTACCATACACACCCACTCACTATACATTAACATCTACTATGAAGAAATACAATAGTTCATCGACATATGATTTAAATGAATTTGATAATGTTAAGTCTTTATCTTTATTTTCAAATGCAATTACAGATGATTCATCATGGTATTTTCGAAATGTTCAATCATTAAGTTTAGCAAGTAGTCGTTATCCCCGTGATCGTCGTGATGAAGACGATGAGTACGAATTAAAAATAGAATATTTAAAGAAGATGGTCAACTTATCAAATATTACAGAATTGGAAATTACAAAAAAATGTGTCATTAAATCCGAATTACTATTTCAAATATTAAAGCAAATGCCAAATATATCATCATTAATATTAAAGAAACAAATAAGAAGTTCATTTTATACTCATCACGAACTCTGTGAACTTTTGAGTAAAAAAATAAAAATATTGGATTTTACTTATCCATCTTGGGATCATTATATTGTAATTCAAGATTTAGATTGGTTTTGTAAAACATTTTCAAATATCGAAGAACTTCAGTGTGATATCGATAATGTTGATGATATTTTATTAATATTAACAAAATGTTCTAAATTATCAAAAATAAAAATCAAATGCGTTACTAAACGAATCTATACATGGTTTCAAAACAATACATTAACATCAAATGTTTATATTAATTATGAACCAAAATATTTTGAATCAAATGATAATACACCATATAATTCAGATTAAAGAAACAATTTACATTTTATCATATTTCAGATTTGTTTTGTTATTTAGTGCTTTTATTTTAAGGTGTCAGAAACCAAATAATTCTTTTACGTAAGCCAGTTTCCTGTCAACGTATTCACAGTAATAATTGAGCTCATGTAGTCTAAAGAGAATTTTATGGCGTACAAAATGAGCATAATCTTTTAATCGATTGGGATGTGTTATACAATAAAAATATTGTTCAACATATAAATTACATATAAATTAATTATGATTTATTTTAATTTATAAATTAATAAATTACAAAAAAAACTGAAAATAAATATAAATAGCTACACGTTGTTTAATATAGTATGAGTTTTAGAAAGATAGGTGGGTGTGGGTGTAAGTGTAGGAGTGACGCTTGATCGATGTTCATTTATCGACACCAACACCCACACCCAAGATAATCAAAAATGTACATCGACTCCACCATTTTATTTATCATCTCAAAACCCGTTTGATAGTAGTTTAACTGATCAGCTATCTGTTTTTGATTTTAAATCAATTGACGTTAATCAATAGCTTAATGATTTAAATAAAAGTCAATCAAATTCTATTTCTCAAATTTCTTTAGAAATTTCTTTGTATAGAAAAGATGATGATAAACTAGCATTAATTGAAGATACAGCAGATGATGAAATAAATGAAGAGCATTCGATAAAAATAATAATGGCACAAAATAATGTTTTCAATGAGGGAATAGATCAACGATTATTAAAATCTCGATTAAGTTCAATACGATATCAATTGAAAAAGATCTTGATACTTTATTTAGTAAAGAAAATGAGTTATTTTCTACTGTATTATTAACTGGTGTTAAATTAATTCTTACAAATGTTAGTATAAAATAAAAAACAGTTACACAAGATAAATCAAATATAAATGATTATTCGACATGGTTTTTATTAACATTTCAACAACAACATCGTGTATTAAGACGATAATCTATATTTTTATTGAAATACCTGGAAAATATGCAACTCGAAAAAAGTCACTACTTGAACATCACGTTTTTTGTATGGATTAATAATTATTTCTCCAGAAAACATTGCACGATAAATAAGGTCTTTCTAGATAATTAGACATTAAACGAAACGTATTTAAAGAAGAAGAAATGATGATAGATCCAGGCAGTTTGATTCTAGTTCTTAAGAGAGCTATTAGTATGACATACTGCTTCGATATGTTCTTTACCATATAATAAAATGCAAAATAAAAGTAAAACAAACACTACTTTGGTTTTGTATTGTAATAAACAAATATAAGTAAACAAATGAATTTATTATGAACATTCGAGGAAAAAAACAAAAAAAGAAAAGCGACCCTGGCAGGACTCGAACCTGCAATCTTCTGATTCGAAGTCAGACGCCATAGCCATTAGGCCACAGGGCCGGTGATATATGAAGTGAGAAATTCCTTAATCATCTTTTTTCATTATATAAGACATAGTTCACATGTATAAGTGATATACAAAACTATGATTTAAGCAAAAAAACTAAGTTTAAAAGACTTGTTATTATGGCATAGTTTTAATTACATAAGTTAAGAAGATGTAATTTCAGTGTGAACAATAAAATAAAGTTTAATAAATTTTTGCCATTGATACAAAATGAACTTGAATTAATTTAATGTACATAACATACACAAAAATATAACTTTGTTCTAACTAATTCTATAATACACATGTGTTAATTTATTACTTTGTACTTTTCTTCATTATATTACGTTTTTCCATTTTTGAACCAATGAATTAACTAGCATAATATTTTCGAGAGAAAACAAACAATAAAGCTAATCTAGCTTTTAGAATAGTGAAATATTGTATTGCTTTCTACAAAGGAAGTTTTATCAAAATATATTTTTAAATAATTATCTATTTATTTAATTTTTTTATTGATAGATTATCTGGACAAGTTATTGATGTTGATTTTAGTTCTGTATTTAATGCTACATCTGTTGTAAGATAAAATTAAAATATTTTCATATTCTTTAGCATTTACCTATTCGTTTGGCACAGTTGGTCTTTTTCGTACAACAATGAATGTATGGATGATAAATATTTTTTTATCACATTTTATTATTTTTCATTAAAATCTATCCATAGGAACATGCATTTAAAACAACTTACACAAACTGATATGTTTAACAAATATAAGAATATGAATTATATGTTCTCTTAGTTCAATTAATTTAAAAGATAAAATATTCATCATGGCAGCAACTTATTTATTTATCAAGCATGATATGTTTCATTCATAATCTTCTCATAGTTCATTGTTTTAGCTAACCGTACAAAATCTTTAAGTTAAAGAAATATGTTTCATTTTTATTTTTTTTGAAAAGTTGCTCTGGCAGACTAGTGTGTTACCACCAATCCGCACAATTTCGTCATCGCAACATATTTTTGATCAGCTAGGATCATTTACCTCTTGGTAAGTTGTAATAAGCAACTTTTCTCGATACTGTGTGAAGCACGACATCTACAGTGTCCTTACACATTTCACTTGGAATCCTACCACATACTATGTCATCCATAGTTTCAACATTTCAAGTCCTTCAGTGAAAACGTGATTTTGAAAATTTGCAAAATACGTTGTTTTTCTTTGTCTATAAAAAAATGACGATACAACAAAGAAAACAATAATCATTCAATACTGTCAAGTATAATAATAAAGGCCTTTTTCCTTAAATCAGATACGAGTACCTTCTCGAAAGTATTTATTAATTTTATCAATGAAAAAGCAAATTATCAAATAAATGAATTTTAATCTCACTAGTACTTAGAATGGTGAAAAAATAGATGAGCTGATATTTGAATAACTCTTTTTCTCTTTCTATTCTTTTCACATGATATATGCAATGACAAAACGCACATGGTGATCTACATA